GCCGGACTTTAGATACGGCACAAAAGAATTACACCACCACGGAGAAGGAAATGTTGGCGGTGGTCTTCGCTTTTGACAAGTTTAGACCCTATTTGGTGTGCAACAAGGCCATTGTCTACACCGATCACTCCGCGGTGAAGTATTTAATGAGCAAAAAGGATGCTAAGCCGCGTCTAATCCGATGGGTCCTTCTCTTACAAGAATTTGACATTGAAATACGGGATAAGAAAGGAAGTGAGAACCTAGTGGCTGACCACCTCTCAAGGTTGCCGTTAGACCACCCTTCTTACCTCGACAAAGAGGATCCCATCGATGATGAGCTTCGAGATGACTCTCTTATGGCGATCGTTACCAACACCATCCCTTGGTTCGCTGATATTGCAAATTATTTAGCAAGCGGGGTGGTACCTCATGAATATGATGCTCAACAAAGGAAGAGGTTCTTCAAGGAAGTTAAGAGGTATTTTTGGGATGATCCAAGCTTGTACAAGAAGTGTAGTGACGGTTTGTTCCGGAAATGTGTGGCAAATCATGAGATGGAAGGTATTATGGAACATTGTCATTCACTACCTTGTGGAGGTCATGGAGGTGTCAACAAGACCGTGGCAAGGATCCTAGGTTGCAAGCTTTGGTGGCCAACTATGCGCAAAGATGTTCACAAGTTCATCCTTCGATGTGACCGATGCCAAAGGATGGGAGGAATCACAAAGAGAAATGAAATGCCGCAACAATCAATCTTAGAAGTTGAGCCATTTGATGTATGGGGAGTGGACTTCATGGGTCCGTTTGTCTCCTCATGTGGGAATTTGTATATCCTTGTGGCTGTGGATTATGTGACTAAATGGGTGGAAGCGATACCATCACCCACAAATGACCACAAGGTAGTGTTGAAGTTGCTCAAGAAGATCATCTTTCCTAGATTTGGGGTGCCACGGTGCCTAATTAGTGATGGCGGATCTCATTTCGCCAAGAAACAACTCGAAGCACTTTTAAAGAAATATGGGGTACATCATAAGGTTGGACTCCCTTACCATCCACAAACCCAAGGGCAAGTGGAGGTGTCCAACAGAGAAATTAAGAGTTTGCTCGAGAGGATGGTCAACAAGTCTAGAAAAGATTGGTCCCTAAGACTGGATGATGTACTATGAGCCTTACGGACCGCTTACAAGACACCGATTGGCACCACGCCATATCGACTTGTCTATGGTAAGGGATGCCACCTTCCGGTGGAATTGGAGTACAAGGCATGGTGGGCTGTAAAGGAACTCAACATGGACCTTCACTTGGCCGGAGAAAAGAGGTTACTCAAGCTCAACGAGTTGGAAGAGTTGAGGTATGATGCTTATGAGAGCTCTAGACTCTACAAAGAACAAACCAAGAGGTGGCACGACAAAAGGATTCGAGATCGTGACTTCGAGGTGGGTAACAAGGTTCTTCTCTTCAACTCACGTCTCCGACTCTTTCCCGGGAAGCTCAAGTCCAAATGGGTGGGGCCGTTTACAATCACCAAAGTAACCCCCTATGGCTCGTTCGAATTGGAAAATCATGAAGATGGGAGCCGGTTCATGGTGAATGGGCAACGGATCAAAAGATACTATGATGAAGGAGATATTGGAAAGATCGGTTGCCTAATGCTTGGGACGGTCCAACACCGTTCCTCCCCCTTAGCTTTATTGCTCGTGACGTAACGTCAAGCTAGGGACGTTAAACTAGCATGCTTTGTAGTATATTGTGAATATTTGTCTTTGAACTATCTCTTTAGTTACTTTTTGTTTTAAGTATTTTGCAAAAATCCGGAGGATTTTTCCCCAAAGAGGGGATGGTTTATGTTGGTTATCGTTAGCCAAAATGCTATAAACCGAAGGGCACGACCTCTTGGCTCAACCAACCAATGGTTGGGTCGGGTACTTAGGTCGCATCCTATAGAAGTACTAACGATTTTGGTTTGAGTGATATTTGAGTGTTTGCAGGTTTGGGAAATAATGCTTTTAAAGCCAAAAATCCGACAGTCTAGAGCGGGCGCTCTAAACAGAGGGCGGGCGCTCTGATTTTAAGGGGGCTAAGAAAGGAAAATTTCGAGAATTTAGAGCGGGCGCTCTGGGTGTAGAGCGGGCGCTTTGAAGGTCCCTCAGAAATTCTACATTTTTGGTGCTATAATCCGACAAGATAGAGCGGGCGCTCTGGTCAGAGAGCGGGCGCTTTGAGTTTTGGGTGAAAATTTGACTAAGTGTGGGAAAATTTGCGCAGCATTAGAGCGGGCGCCCTGGTCTTAGAGCGGGCGCTTTGATTTTCAACCCAGAAACCTGATTTTTCAGCGAAATGTTAGAGCGGCCGCTCTACCCTTAGAGCGCCCGCTCCGACCCTCATTTCAGACTTTGCGCTTTATCCCCTTTTAATTTTGAGCACCCAAATTCTCACCTCAAACTCCCTATCCCTATCCCTTATCTCACCTCAAACTCCCTCAACTTCTTCCTCCATAACCAAACCTTCATCTCCTCCAAATCTCCACCTTTCAACTACGAATTCCTCTAAAATTCACAAATTATTCATCCCCTATCTCCAAAAATCATACATCTCCATCAAGAATTCAGCACCTAGTCCGGATTTCATCAAGAATTGAAGCGGGTTCTACCGGGTTCGCGTCGGGCCAAGTCGGGTTCTTCTTCAATTTCAACTCTAGGCTAATTTGTCTCCAATTGTTGGTATAATCCTACTCTTACTAAGTTAATTTTCCCTATTTCTTTGGATATTTGCTTATTAAGGTTGGCTTAATTGGAGAATTGATGGTGAATGAATGGGTTTTGTGTTTTATGTGGTGAAAATTTGTTGTGAATTGTAGTGTGTTGTTTGTTGTGGTGCTTTGGCAAGGGAAAATTATTGTGGATTTTTGCTAGGTTTTGGTTTGTAGAAAGTTTTGGTTTTAGAATTGGTGGTTGTGCAAAGTTTTGGAGAGTTTTGTTTTTTGTGGTCATTGTGTAGAATTGTTGGAAATTGTTGGGTTGTTGTGGTGTGTTGCTTTGGAAAATTTCTATATTGTTGTTGTAAGAAATGGCTGGTGGTTCAAAGAGGCAAAGAGCCGAACCAAGGAGTGGTAATGTAGGAGAAAGTAGTGGTGCCGGTAGTAGTGGTGGGCATGCTCAACCCACTCAATTCAACATTACCCTGCCACATGCGGCCCAAAGGACCAAATTGGCCGAATTGGATAGGAGGGCAATTAATCCAACTCTCTTCTATTCCCAACACGACTGTTATATGATTGGAATAGACGAGAAGGTTAGGGAGCTTGCAGTGAATCTGGGGTTTGATGCGTTCTTGGATTGTAGATTGCCAAATGATTACATCACCGCAGATACTTCCTACTACTACCCCACCCAACCGCCTCTACTTACCGCCCCCTGACATTGGAGTTTCTTGCTAGCTTCGAGTTAAATCAAGAAGAGGGTATGGAAGGCATTGATGCATTCAAAGTAAAATTCCGGTTGTTCAACAAAGGCCGCCACATTACCCTCCGTGCTTTCAATGAACTATTTGGTTGGGACCCAAATGCTCGAATCTTGGATACCTCCGGACTTGACGGTCAAGGTTATATAGAGGGGTACAATCCGCAAGAATTTTGGGCCCGAATCACGAGTGGGGCTAGAGAATTCCAATCAAAACTCCTCCAAGGCCTCAGAGATCCACCATGCCGCCTTACGGTACTTTCACCGGATGCTTGCATATATTTTCTTCTCTAGAAAAGATCTAGGTAAAATGAGCGATCAAGAGTTATATCTTCTTTGGAGAGCTACCGAGGGTGCGCTTCTTTACCCACCTACCACCCCGGAGCACAAGATCAATCTAGGGTATCTGTTTGCCAAGAGATGTAAGGCAATAAGGGACTCCCCCCTCTTGACTGGTCCTATCTTTATGGGAGGGATGGTCACGTATATCGCCTTCAAGTACAGATACAAGACCCAGCTGCAGCAGATGGAGAGCTTGAACATGGCAGCCGAATTGAACATAGAGAAGATGAAAAGAATGCAATTCATTTCGGATTCCACGGGAGTCACGGGTAAGGCCTTCATTTGGCGGATCCGAGACGTCCCTTGGTGCTACATGCCATGTCCGTTCATGATGAATCCGCCCCGGGAACTGAGTTACCATGGCAAGTCCCTATGGAGCAAATTCACGAGATGACCTCTCCAGCCCGAGATTGATCATAGAAATGAAATCAGGCAAGCGAGGCGGCAACAACAACAATTCCAGCAACATCAAGAGCAACAGCAGCAACAGTTTCAGCAGCAGCAACAAGAGCAATTTCAACAATTTATTTCTCAGGCACAGCAGCATCTTCAGCAGCCCCCCCAGTCCTCGGGGGGAGGTGAGCCCTCTTCCTTTCTGCATTTAATATTGAGCAAGCTTTCGCTAGCCTCGCTCTGGAGGTTAGGAACCTTGCTCAAGCCCGGCCTAGGGAAAGAGAGGAGGCCCCTGCTCAGTCTCCTGGTCCCACTTTTGATATTTATCAAAACCATATTTATGATTACCATGTGGACCAGGGACATTTTAGCCCATGTGTCAACTACCCCTACTACCCTCCGCAGCACGGGCCTGTCCCGAATTGGGAGCCCCCTCAGGTAGATGACAATGGGAACCCCATTCCTCGTACCGGCGGCCAATACCCCTATTGGCAAGGCCCCGGTACCCTGCATGACCCTCCCCACTCCTTCCCCCCTACAACTACCAGCGCCAGGTGGGTGTGATTACCTCGGTGATCCCGCCTATCCTTATCAGGGCGACGGCTTTCCCCCCGGTTATTACGGTGGGTGGGAGCCATATGGGCCGCCATGCGATGTTGATTATGATTGGGCGCCCCCTGTAGTTGTAGAGGGAAAGGAAGAGGAAGACTCTGAGGAATAGATGATCATTTCTTTTGACCCCCCCCCCCCACCCTTGACTATTACATGTTTTATCGCACCGAGACGGTGCCTGGTTTTAGTTGGGGGGTGCCTTAGCATTTTTCATATCTAGGGGCAAATGAAAAGATCATTTTGGGGATGAGCAGCCTTTCCTATGCTTGCTTGTGCTTAATAATCTGTTGGCTTGTATCTGTTGGTTTGTATTATACATGATCACTTTTCCTTTTTCTTCTTTATTTTGTTTTCTAATCTTTTTGCTTTGGAGTTCTGGTATTTCTCACTTTTTGGCAGGTTGTATACTACTTTTGGAAGGAGCCAAGGTTGGTTGACTTGGAACCCATCATTCTTTTTATGTTTTGGATTGGCATGGCTCCGGTGAGATCTTTCCAAACTCTCTTCTATTTATTTTATCTTGCTTAGTTCCTAGGAGCGGAGTTAGGATTAAGTTGATTGATTCATGGATGTTTGCATACTTGGAATTGTGTACTGAGAATTGTGTGAATTGATGCTTTCATTCTTAAGGTTGGTTGACTTGGAACCCATCATTCTTTTTATGTTTTGGATTGGCATGGCTCCGGTGAGATCTTTCCAAACTCTCTTCTATTTATTTTATCTTGCTTAGTTCCTAGGAGCGGAGTTAGGATTAAGTTGATTGATTCATGGATGTTTGCATACTTGGAATTGTGTACTGAGAATTGTGTGAATTGATGCTTTCATTCTTGAGTTCCTCTTCTATCCTTCTATCCCTTCCTTTCTATTTTTGTTGAAGAGTAGCAACGGGGCGAGGTTCACACCTCGTGAGAGGCGCCCGGCTTTATGCCTAGGAGGACGTGCATTCAATTCACGTACCTTCTACCGCCCCCATTTATGGAATTTATTCCAAACGAAGTCCTACTTCTCTTGTTGCTCTTCAATGTTTTCTTTTTATTTTTCTTTCTCTTAGTGTTATCCAAGGCAAGTGTTAAAACTTTGTTTTGTGTTTGGCTGAATTAGTAGCTACAATGTATGAACATATATGAGTTGGTTCCTTGGTTTGATAGGTTTACAAGGTCTTTAATGTTTTGGTTGAAAATCACATAGCTTCATTGCTCAAATGACTCCTATTGGACATATCTTGGGCTATTTAGGCCTTGATCCCTTTTGTCCTCGGTTTGTGGTTGTGGGCGTAGCTCATCTTGTGAATGAAAGCTAGGTGGCTAGAAATTTGGAGACTTAGTGTTTTGCTACTTGATCTAAAACTCGCTCCATTTGACTCTTGAGACCGCGACCGAATCGACTCATAGGATGATAAAGGCATTCATTTCGGGATAAGGGCATAATTTTTCGTTCTTTTTAGATCCTTTTTTTTATTTCCTAGGACACCTTTACTTTCAAATTTCAGGTTTTTGGGTTTACATTCACCTTTTGCGTACCCCCTTGAGCCTTCCACTTTTTGTCTACCCGCATTACAAGCCTTATGAACCTAATTTTATTTTCACCTTTACAGAAATGAGTGAAACTCGAGCTTGGCTTTGTATCTAAGTTAAAAGTTTGGCATAGTGGATGTCTATAATGTAAATTGCAAGGGACGTGTTTGTTTCCCCAATTAAATCTTTTGGTAAAAAAAAAAAAAAAAAAAAAAAAAAAGTTGGAATAAGAATGCATAAGTAAGGCATCGATCTTGTATATAGTTTAGAGTTAGTTGGGGGGTATAATACCCACCAACTAAGGTTAGTTGGCCTTGGTTTTGCTCGATTCATTAATGTTTCACTCTTAGGAGCTTACACCACTAGCCAGAATTAACCCTTACCCCAAGCCATTTCATTGCACCTTAAAAGCCCTTTGGACCTTGAGTGATTGAGTCAATGTCGGTGGAGAGAGTCATGGGTCGAGTTTTTAGATTGGATTTGCATTTACTAAGTTAGGGCAATCCTACCTTGCCCACCTCCTTGTTGTTCTCCTAATTCTCTTGTGGAATTCGAGACGACTAGCCGCCTAGTGGACATGATCGAGATGAGGAAGGTTGCCTTGGTGAGGGACAATTGGAGGATAGGATCTTTATAGTCCAAGCTTTTGAGCATGAGCTATGTGGCCTTCAACCAGGAGCATTAGCTAGCTTGTCCACCTATCTTGTCAAGAAGCTTGCGCATCCTTGTGATTGCATTGTAGTGAAAGTTCAACCATTCATGTTTGTGTTTCTTTCCCTTTTTATTTTTCTATTTTTCTATTTTTCTATTTGTCTCTAAAAACCTTGCCTTGATTTAGTGCGAAGTTGTGGGTTAATCTCTCTCGAAAACCCTCACGAGAGCATACTCGTCCTCCTAAGTGACTTGGGGGTTTAAATGGCTTGTCGTTTACGCTAAAAACGACCGTGATTCCTACGAAAGTGAGTTAGTGTATAGACTTATGCTTTTGGTTATTTTTGTTTGCTTATTTTACTTCGCTCGAGGACGAGCAAAGGACTTAGTTGGGGGGAATTTGATCAGTGGCCATTAGGCCCACTTTTCTACTTCGTTTCTTCCCCGATTGAGCCCTTTGTTTGCCCTTTTTCCTCTATTTTAGCTTAGTTTTGTTATTATTGAGCATATTTGTTACTTGGAGTGGTTTTGAGTCATTTTTGGCTCATTTCCTAAGGTTTTATTCCCTCTCCTTTAACCCATTTCAATTTGCTCCTATTAGAACCTTTCCTATGATTTGTGTTTTCCATCTTACAGGTCCTCCCGTGGCTAAGAAAGCAAGGATTGGATGCAAGGATTAGGCATGCTTTGGAGTCAAAGGGATTGGAGCATTAGAGCCCAAAATATGAAGGAAAGAAGAGTTCAGAGCGGGCGCTCTAGATATGGAGCGGGCGCTCTGTATTCCTTGCTGCAGAAAAACCAAGTACCCAACCCTCAGAGCGGGCGCTCTAATGTTGAAGCGGGCGCTCTAGCTCCCAGAATAATCAGAGCATTTTCTGCGAGACTTCAGAGCGGGCGCTCTGGCCTTAGAGCGGGTGCTCTGGCCTTAGAGCGGGCGCTCCGTGTTCCCCTGACCGATTTGAACTCTGCTACACGCGTAGGCTGACGGCTCTAATTATTTTACTCTGCACGTGATGCCTAAAATTTTGGGCCTTGATTTGGGTTAGGTTTTAGAGGAGGGTATAAATACCTCTCTTCCTTGTAATTGGGAGAGAGAGAGAGGTAGGTAGAGAGAAAAATATTAGAAAATCAGATTTCAGCTTATTGTTTTCTTTCTTTCTTTTGCACTTTAGATTAGTTAGGGTTTAGTTCCTCATTAGATCTAAAACACTACTCTTTGTTACTCTCTTTCATTTTCAATCCAAGATTAAATCTTTTGGTATTATTTCTATCCCTACTCTTTATTTATTGCTTTATTTATCTATTTTAATTAGTTTTAGCTTATCTTTAGTTGTTATTTCAAGTCAATAGAATAGTTTAATGTCTTAGTTGCCTCCTTGTTTAAACTTGCAATTTCTGGTTTTAATCCTTTATTTTCTTGCTATTAGTATAATATTATCCTTATTTGCTTAGATTTCATGCTATTTAGAATAGATTACAAGTAGACTTAACATATTCTCTTCAAAGTTAACTTCTTTAGTAAAGTTTAATCATCCTATTTTCTGGTTTTAGCCATGTTTCTCTCATTAAACTTAGTTTTTGCTTTTGTTAATGTTCTTGTGTGCTTTGGTATGACCCTTCCTTCTCTAGGCTAGGTTTCTAGCTAGGGGAGGGGGGAAATGATGAACTAATGATGAAATGAATGATATGTGGTGCAAGATTGGGTAGATTGAGAAGTTTTGCAATTGATTCCAACCTAGGTTTTAGTTGTTAGGAATTAGAGATTGATCACCTCTAAGACCCTATTTTGTGTTGCATGCTAGTTGTGCGAGAGTGAGCTTGTATGTGATGATGACTAGGTTAAGGATGACCTCGACCACCGAGGCGGGGTTGGGTAGGCGGTGTTTAGGTGAGCCCGAGAGGGAATCCTAGATGTTGGACCATAGGCCCCAATTGTTTGGTTGACCGATTGAACCATTCTTGTTGCCTCTAATTGTTGAAATCATTGTTAGTTAGGAATTCTCCCCTATCCCCTAGTGTTTGCTATTCCTTGATTTTCGAAGTTTTATACCTCTGCTTGTTGCTTGTTAATTTAGTTCTTAGTTTAATTGTTTCCCTAGTAGCTATAGATAAATCCATCAAAAATTTATTCCTCCCTTTTCAATTGACTTATAAGTGATCTAAGCAAGAGACGTTTGACCTTCCCTGAGGATTCGACCCCACTTCCACTATGCTACCTTTGGTTAGTTTAGGACGTGGGTTTTCTTTTTATTCTCGACTCGACCTTTAGGAACTAACGACACCTAGGGGGCCGATCACACGGCCGTGCTGAAAATTGGCTTGGCACGGCCGTGCTAATGCCTGGCACGGCCGTGCTAAATCTGGCACGGCCGTGCTAATTCTTGGCACGGCCGTGCTGAATCTGGCACGGCCGTGCTGAATCTGGCACGGCCGTGCTGAATCAGGCACGGCCGTGCAGCATAGGCAGGAAGGTTGCAGGCACTTTGGTCTTCTTAAAACAGTCACAACTTCTTATCCAGAGCTCCGTTTGAGGTGTGCAATATATTGTTGGAAAGCTCTTCAAGTCTACTTTCCAATGCAATTGGAATCACTCCATTATCATTTGTATACCGAAAGTTGTGAGCAAAATAGTGAACAGGTGTCATATTTGTGAACTGTTCTGCCTTGCCTGCTACTTAACTTGCCTTTCAAGGCCTTGAGAACCGCAGCAAAGCCTTAGCTTGGTGGACTAGGATCGATAATAGCCTGATTACGCACCAATGGTTCAGGACTCGACATAACTTGGTCAACTATACCTGTTAACACAGCAAAAACAGACCGAAACCCGTGAAGCACGTAATATGAAGGAAACGAGTGTAACAAGGCAATAAACGACCAAAACGGGCCTAAATACATCCAAAATCACCCATTAATATGCCTTAAAGCGCGCCCTAATGTGCGCTTGTCAGAATGCGCCTGCTACTTTCCAACGCATGATTATTACAGTCTTTGTTAATCAAATTGGGAGGAATGTAGAGGCGTACATTGATGATATGATAGTGAAATCAAAAAAACAAGAGGATCACCTTGCTAACCTCCGAAAAACATTCGCCACACTCAGGCGGCACAAGATTATTCTTAATCCAAAAAAGTGTGTGTTTGGTGTTAAGTCTGGGAAGTTTATCGGATTCTTGATTGACCAAAGGGGGATAGAGGCCAACCCTAAAAAAATGACAGCAGTAATTGACATGTAGTCACCCTGTACTGTGAAGGAAGTCCTAAAATTAACTAGTTATCTGGCAGCTCTGGGAAGATTTCTCAATCGGTCAGGCGACAAGTGCCTTTACTCCTTCCAAGCGATGAGGAAGACGACTAGATTTTAATGGGGGTATGATGTTGAGGCGGCCTTCCAAAAGCTGAAAACGCATCTACACTTTTTGCCAAGGTTGGTCAGCCCCTTGCCTAAAGTGGAGCTCTAAATGTATCTGGCTGTTTCAGTTCATGCCCTCATTGCAGTTCTCTTAGCTGAAAGAAACGACATCCAGCTCCCGGTCTACATCATTAGCCACGTTCTTTGAAACGCGGAACTTTGGTACCCCATGGTTGAAAAATAGGGGCCCCTTAATTGGTGGAACTTTGAGGATATACAGACGTGAGATAGGGAAAGAAGGAATGTTGGTAAGCTTTCTTGAAAAGGGGGTTGGGATTGAAAGAATTGGAATGGGTACCTCACTCACAACTTTAATCACACCACCTTGCATTGAAACACAAGCCTTTTCTTCTAAAGAATTCCCTTCTAACACATCCTCACTAACTTCAAAAAGTTTAAAAATATCCTCAATCACTAATTGGGATTCTTCACTCTCAACAAGAGCATGGTTCTCATTATCAACATTCCCTAACTTAACATGATCAAACATGAGTATCTCATCATCACCACAACCCATATTTTCTCTTAACATGAGGATCTTCAATGGGTTGCAAAGAGTGTTGAGTTTCAAGTTGGATAAAGGGGGTGGTTTTCAAAATTTCCTCAAATGAATCATCTTCCATAAACCCTCTATCGCTTTCAACATCATCATTATAATCATCCTAAACCATGCACTCAAAAGCCCAATTTGGTTCTCTCATAAGGGAGGGGGAAGAAGAAGGAAGGGCAATTGTTTGGGATTGAGCTAGGTGGGAAATTTGGCTCTAAAGTGCTTCCATCCTAGCTTTTATCTCCTTGTTAAATTCTTCTTCCTTTCTCATCAACTCGTGAAGCTTCTCCATCAACTCTCCTTCCTCTCTATGTCCCATCGAATCACCCTCACAAAGGTGTTCTCTAGATACATAGGGAAACTCATTTGGAATCATGCTAGAACAAGAAGAGGTAAAGGGAAGATCATGTAAGTGAGGGTTACGGGTTTGGGGAGCATCATTAACATCCATGCATACATTTGAAGAACATTGAGAAAAAGCATGAATATTATCAACATTGGGATGCATCTCATCATAAATAGCACACAAGGGAGAGGGATTTGCATCATGGGGAGCATAGGAATCATCCTTAGAGTGCATGCAAGAGTTAGAAAAATCACAAGAATTAGC